CGGTTTTATTGGGGTGCTCGCACGTGCCGAGCGCAGCTATGCCAGGTCTTTCGATCATTAGCCGGACACCTCCAATTAATGCCGACTGTTCGATATGTGTGTGTCACTTTTGAGAAGTCGCCGGAGTGAGGGAAATGAGGAGTCGCCACTCATGAAACTAATAAAATCGAAGCTTTGTAATCCAAAAATTAAAACCCTTTTTGTGAAAGAGCATGGGTAATCAGAAGCAGCCCGGGCGGTAGCAAGTGCCAGCAGCAATCAGTCGTTAGCAAGACTGGTGATGGTCCCGCTTTTTCACCTTTGAGAGCATAACTTCAACTGGTCCTCGAAATTTCCAGCTGTGCTTTCGGAAGGGTGTTGAGAGTGAAGCCTCCTGTTTTTTGGGCGCATAAATGCGCAGAATATAATGTAGTAATTTAGGATTTCTCGAAAATACAAATGTTTATCGCTGAGTGAAAAAAATCATCAATGTAATACAATAAAAGGATTAAAGGCGCATTTTGAAAATATCAAGCATAGTTCAAATGCACCAAAAAACGTCGAAATCGTTAATTCATAAATGAACACGCACGTTCGGATGATAGAGGTAATTTCTGCCCCAAATTCCGGCACTCCGCGAATCAGGCAGATTTTGATGTAGGTACATCCTGTTGTACGTGAACATCGAAAGTGGCAATCTGTCAATCCATGCATATCGCTTCGCATCTGCGGCACATTCTTCACGCCAACCAATCTGCGCATGTGAAAAGAGAGAAATAGCATGCGGAAAAGTTCATTCTATGTTCTGCGACAGGTAGCAGCTGCCAATGAGAAATCTTATCGGTGCTCCCGTTTTTAATACAGGGAGGTGCAGTTTTGGTACTGGCAAGAAATATATAGAAGTTCACAGATCGAGAAATTCCTTTCTAGTTACTCAGTTATAGATTTGTAAAGAAATTAACATTTTCACTTTCGCTGTATTTCCAAAATAAGTTGTATCTGGTGAGCCCTTTTCTAAAATAATTTTCCCCATAGCATAGGCCGTCATCGCTTCTATTCCTGCTAATTTGTCGGCCTCTTTTAAATTACATTAAAAAGAGATCGATTTTAATGACCGTTACTCCAAAAAAACTTATTGCCGTAAGGGAACAATAAGTCCATGTTCTTAGCGTCCGAGGACAATCAAAGAGTTTGCAGTGGTTCACCTCTCCGAGGATTTGATAAAATTTTGCGTACGGAGGGGTTTCCGTAAACTTCAGCCTGTCAATAATTCGTAAAATCTTTTCGTACTGGTGCGGACAATTCTCAAAGAATGTTGCTTTTGCCGTATTTCTTGCTTCTTTCTTTGCTTTCTCGGCTATGCTTTTATCTGGAAGAAAGAGAATTGAACGATTATGTAAGCTATCGAGATTTTCACCGATCATGAAAAAAATCCCTATAAAAAGCATCCTTCAACTGTGTTAGCTGGCAGACGTATATCACTCATTTCTCCTCCCATTCAACCTAGCAGTATCGTTTATTCGCAGTGAGTTCTTCAAGCAATATTAAAATTAAACGGTCTGAGCGAGTGCTGCATTAAAAAAAAGCCATTCTGTGAGGTGCAGTTACCATCTGATCGAAATTATTCGACGTTACCAGTAATGAGTTGCCATGGCAGGGAGCCTTTGGTGAGTTCGATGATCATGTACAGCCAGGATTCCATATCGTCACGTCTCGACAAATCGTGTTTTCGATGCGCATTCAGCGAAGCATACCGCACCGTGCCACGCCAGCCCGTTACACCTCGTGATGGTATCACTCGCGAATACTAAAGCACTTCTTTGCATTTATTGAATTTTTACTTTTTCAATTTTTATATCTTTCAGTCACCGCCTTATTTTTGTTATGGCCCCGCTGCAAAGATTTTGGAATGCGCGCTGTGCTCCTTCGAGAATCTCGCCGTGGAGCGCATTTATGACACTAGTTTGCACTAAATGCCTTTCAGGTGATACGCTTGTGAAGGACCAGAACTAACTCGATCGAGGAAGCGTTTTGCAAGTCCGAAGTCGAATATGAATATGATGTGGCCCAGGCAATCCTCATTATTGCCAACCGCGAAATTGCCAGGTTTGATATCACGCGAGATGAAGCCACACTGGTGCAGTTCCTCAATGGCACTCAGTGTCTGTACCGCGATACTCCGAGCTGCTTCTGCAAACATCACGCTGAACACAAGTTACACCATTTTTTGAGCTGAAACGGCTTTGTACTGTGTTTTTTTTCCCCTATTGCAAATGATTCGGGTGAGGGGAAGTTGGTAAAGCGGTCTTCTCCCTGCTTCGAATCAACGGAGCGAGCTCATCAAGGCACTTGCAGGAATCGTAGAAAGATTTCTGCAAAATTTTGACAACACGCATAAACTGGAGAAGTATTCTGCAGGCTTAGCACGTTTGTCCCTAAAAGAAACTGCAAAAGCCGACTACTTACGCCTCTCTGTTTGAAAAGGGAGAGAGGTTGGTAAGTGATGCAAAGGAAGCCACTGAATGGATGAGCAAAGTAATATCTGTTGAAAGCTATTAGTGCAAGCCACGTTACGAGAAAACGAACGGAGCGTGAAGTATCGCCCGGGTTGCTGACTACGCAGCTTGGTGAGATCGGGCCCGAGTAGCGACATCACCAGAAACGTGAACTTGCCTTTCTCGTAGCCCTGAAAGAAAGTAATACTACGTCTTTCCAGATCAGTTGTGTTATAAGCTAACTTATGGAAAAACTGCTGGAACGGAGTCGAGGCCCGCCTTCAGAGAAGGCTATAATCAGCCTTTTTTTATAAAGCTTACTCTCATCCAAGACTGTTCAGCAAGCCCAGAAAACACACGATCACACTTGCAGCTCTGGCTGACTGGCGTGCGAGCAGGCATAGTGTAACCAAGCTGACGTGAGAGCAACTGCTTTCCAACCTGCTTTATCTTGGAACATTCGTAGCGATGGGCAGAGAATTAGCGTGAAAGACTGGAGCAAATGCCTGCTCGCACGCTAATCAGCCAAAGCTGCGAGTGCGATACTGGAGCAAATTTGCATGGACACAAATTTGTTGCAGTGGTTTAACCCCGGGGTGAAAACTGCTTGAAAATGGGTTAAGTGCCTTTTAAGCATTAGTGCTTGGATTCGTATTTCCTTTTTGTCACTTTTTTCAATCGGAGAAAATTCTCTGTTTTTCAGTTAAAGAAACCAAATTTTGTCCCTGTCCTTGGCAATTCAAACAATTTCAACGATTCACGAATCACTTTCTATAGCCAACAATTTCTTGAAAAGCTTAGTTCCAAAATCACTGTGTTATCCAATGGGTTTTACGTAAAATACCGTGCTGTGAAAATGGAATTACAAAAGTAGTCAGTATAGCTCACATGGCTGGTTTGTCGAAAATGAAAGCACTAAATCATCGACCCGAAAACAAAAAGGACGAGGAATCCGAGCACGGGTTAGTGTCGAATCCAACT